TGGACCGGTTTCCCATTGGCATTTTCGGCCTCTATATCCAGCATGCATTGTCGGCCTCACGTTTATGTGCCCAGGGCCTAACCAATTCTGGGGCCTGGGGCCCTGGGATTTCTGCATTTGCAGAGATCCGATACTCGGTGCACTCCAACCAACTGGCGTGCGGCAACTGTTTGGACCCCACTTCGTGAAATGTTTGAACAAAGGGCTCTCGTTGATTTGCTGGCCCGCCTTCACTTAGGGCGGGCATGAGGCTTGCTGGGGCGTTAGCCCAGAACATGTACATCATGGCAAGGCCCCTTTGAGGGCTCAATCCTCACACATGTTTTGAGACCAACCATCATGACGCGCACTTATCAAAGCACAGGTGTGCTGTAGCTCAAAGATAGTATATGCCAAACAACTCAATTGCGCAGAATCGTCTTTGCAAAAGGTGGTCCGGCTGTGGGCGCCAGCGAGCTCTCTCAGGTATGGTCGATGTCTACCTCTCCAAGGTCTCTCTTTCAAGATGCCTCTTGAGTCTCTCTCCCTCCCAGCCTCACACCGGACCTTGCTATGGCCACTGCCCAACGGTGCCCAGCGCAGTAGACTACTACTACGAGCCGGAGTCCACTCTACAGCACAAGTCGCAGCACACTTCACAGGTCAGAAGCACTTCTGCATGAGCGCAGAAGTGCATATGTGTTGACCGGACTAGTTTTCGGTGCACGACAGAGCACATCTTGCAGTTGCATTAATGTGCTCCTAGTATGGTTTGGAGTTTCAGGATGGGGGCTCTCTGGTAGGCTGTGTACGGTCCATAAGCTTTGGAACTGTACCTTTGTACCTGTCAGCAAATCGAGTTTTCAGAACTCTGTTCTCCTTTATCCATGCCTCACTTTTGTGCAAAAACCCTGTGATACGTGATTGATGTACAACTGTCTTTGTTTGTTTGCAATGTGTATTGTGCCACAGTTTGCAATGACTGTGCTGCAGGTTACATTAATGGTGCTGGGGTTGCCTGTGACTGTGTCAAACCGGTGGTCGTACACATAAGGCTTCCCAACCAATCCATTGACCGTTTTTCAAAGGAGGAAGAAAAAAAGTTTATTGCAGTTCTTTCAGAAAACCTTGGTCTTTGGGCTCGTCAGGTCAGGATATTGCGAGCTGCACGGGGGAGTGTCATGCTTGCCATAGGTAATGGAACATCCTAACTGGATATGCATCTTATTGTTGTGTGATTGTCCTTGGGCAGTTTTTCTTTTGACTACTGGTTTCTTTTACCAAGAAAGTCACAGACGTTTAACTGCGTTGAGAACACCCTGCAAGTTTTCTTCTTCCTCCCCCCTGCCACTTCTTGAGTATGCGTAGTCATAAACCTAGTCTTGCTGCGTTCGTTTTTCCCTGTGGAGCGCAGTCCTTGGCAAACCCCGACATCCATCTTTTTCCATACCGCCTGATGATTGCCCCAGATTGCTAGGTCATTGAATGGCCCTGAAGCAATGCAGTTCTATCCTTTCATTTCTCGTGGTGATAAGATAAAGAAAGGGGGAAAACGATTCTGGAAGTGTTCCCCAACTTCCCCCGGCCCTGCCAATTCTCTCTGCCTGAATGTGGTGGGAATTGGGAAGTCAGGATAAGGACCAACTTGATCCGAAAGGGCCTGATATGAGTGTAGAGGAGTTCCATTTGGCATGCAAAAGTTTGGGAATGTGAGATCAGATGCATGGCCCGAGATTTGTCTCATGGCCATAGACAAAGGTGGGGTGTTTTTGAGGGTGCTTTTGTCTGTGATGTGACTCATTTGGTTTTGCCATGGGATCCCAAGTGTGAGACTTTTCCATGAAAAACATAAGTGTGAGTATCCCCCAACACAATTCCTGCCACAAAATGAATCTATAAGACTGTAACCATCAGCTTTCCCAAGTTTTCTGTTCTCCTTTTATTTGGAATGGATTTGATAGGTATCAGATAGGGTGAATTGTTCGAAGTGCGGCATTTGTCGTGAGTAATGTGTTCCAAAATATATGAATCCTTTCCATGTTCTTCTTCTTTTGGATGCCTTCCTGCAGACCAGCACAATACTCAAGAGGTTTCGCTATGGGGACCACCTTTAATGTCTGAATGGATGGTAGCCTTTAATTGAAAATGTTGTGAAAAGCCACTGTTACTGGCAGTAAGCCCCAAATGAATTTTACAATTTATCCGACCAGGTTGCTTGTGCATTCACCTGGCTGCTTTATTAAGTCAAGTGTTTTGGGTTCCAAGGATCTTTGAGGCTACGCTTTCAGGGTAAAGTTGTCAGTTATTTCTGAAGAAATGCTTGAGGGAATTTAGGAACTGACGATCGTGTACTGGGATGCGCAGTGATATCCCCATGGTCACACTTGCCATTTTTCGAAGGGTTGTGGTGATATGCCCTGTATGCTTGGTGTAACATTGTTTCGTGGTCAGTATCGGGCATACTCATCATCAAAATTATGAAGTTGAATCAGTGTGCAATGAATTGATTTGTTTCTGAGTCATAGAGCATGCATGAAGGAACCAGGCAGGTATTCTGACAGCTCAGGTTGTGTCCACATGTGCCCGCTTGTCATATCATCCTAATTGAGGATAGAGCCCTATTCCATGTACCTCTACATATATATGCAGGATCATCATTATCTGTGTAGGATCAGAGTGTAAATGTCTGACATCTCCTGGTCACATCACACACACCTTTGTCTCCTCCTCTCCCTGCTCTGCTTCTGCCTCCTTTCCGCCCGTGCTCACTCCCTTTCAACTGTATCACTCTCCTTCCTTCTGATCCCCGCCCCCCCCCCCGCCCCAACATGCCCCGTTGTCCTGCTTTCTTTTGTCGGTGAATTGCGTCTTCTTTCTGCATCCAGGAATCCTGCCTGATATAGGATCAGGTGCTATGCTTGACCCAGAAACAGCCGTGCGGATCAAGGGAACGCTGGAACAACAGCTGCTTGACTTAGGACCAGAGTTCGGTCCATACCAGATGATTGGCATCTCCATGCCTGGTGAAATTACTTTGACATCAGACTCATCTGCAGCTGCATCAGCTATTGTCTCATCATTTTCTTCGCCATCATCATTTTCTCTGCCATCAGCATATTCTCCACAATCATCGTCTTCTGAACAGTCACCATCTTCTCAACAATCATCATCTTCTTCACCGTCATCATCTTCTCAACAATCATCTTCTAGATCATCATCGACTTCTCCTCTTTCATCATTTCCGTCCGAGCCACGGCCGCCATGGGAACCTCGTTTTCCACCAACTCAGGATTCCTTATCAGGGCCTGTGGATGTTGCTGGTTATAGTGTGCCACTCTCACCTTGGAATTCTGCTTCGGATGAAACCTCCAACACGCGACAATCACCATCTGCACCAGGCACTGTACAGGAATCTCCATGGGACTCGTCAGATGTGCGATACATTATCTTGCTGCTGCTGATAGTGCTCTTGGTGATTGCGGCCAGTCTTCTTTTCATGGCAATGATTGCCTGGTGTGTGGCATGGAAGTATTTCCATCATGTGAGGAAACGAGACAGTGCAAGAGCAAGGGCCAGACCTGGGTTTGATTTGATTGGTGCCAGTAGGCTTGGAGCAATTGGCGATGGCTCTGATGCAATTGTCAGGTACTCGGAGCCTGTTGGATATGGGCTTAGGAGATCTAGCTTTTCTGGGCACATTGCCGGTGGTGGCCTTAACATGTTGCAATGGGATGGGGATATGGGTGTGAGACCTGCCGCAGTGCTACGGCAAGAAGGCGGCGAGGATAGGAATGGTGAGTGGGTACTTGCTTAAGATGAACATGTTAAAATTGGCCTGCAATTGTAATCAAACAGTCCAGCATAGATTATAGATGCTGGCAGTGTTGCATACGCCAACGATCGGCTCCCTTGACTGGTTGGCTGGTCAGCTGGTAGGCACCTACTGGTCGGGGGTTGTCGGCACCCTGCAATTTTTATTATTATTATTATTATTATTATTATTTTTATTTATTTTTTTTGGGTCCGTAACCCCCAATAACCCCACCAACACCCCCATACCCGCCCCTAATACCCCCAAACAACCACAAACCGCCCCCCAACACCCTTATACCCAACATACCACTCCTATACCCCCCTGTAACCCCTCTATACACCCTCCAACTCCCCTATACCCAGCGGATTTGGGCTGTACTCAGCAAGCGCAGCACAGCCCCCAACTCAGATTTTAAAAAAACTCAGTGCTATGGCTGTTTTCTGACTGGTCAGCAGACCGCCGACCGGTCGGCCTAAATTGTCCGCGGTCGGGGTCGCTGCAAAATGGTCGGCAGTCGGGGTCGGCGGTCGGCAGATGTGCAACCCTGGATGCTGGTCATTACTCTTTGACAGGACGATATTGTATCCATTCAGTACGTATAACACCCAATCGAACTGACCCTTGTGCGAGTGGTAATAAACTACAGTAATGTGTATGTTATTGCATATTTCATTGGTCAATAGCATTGTTCATACTGCAATCAGACTTGTCTTTCTCGACACTCAGCATGCGTACAAACAGATGACGATCAAGCTGGCGACTTGCGCCCACACAAAACTCAGAGATAATGAAGTCAAGAATGCAGCTCAGATTCAAACTTGTCTTGGTCGGCTATGGCCGACCTCTGCAGTCCAAGCAACTTTTTCGTACACACACCCCGGATCTCCCTGGATGTCCCGTACACACAAACACACACTTTACACGTACACACCCACTCACACTCTCCCTCTCTTCACACACACTAGCACTACTAACTGCTGACGTGGTGGCTATGGCCGCCATCTCTCTCCTTCACTAACTAGCTATCGGCTATGGCCGATCTTCCTCCTCTTAGCCCTCTTCGTCCACTGGCACCTGCAGACCTCCGCACACAAGACACTTCGACAGCACTTCCACACGGCTCACAGGCAGAATGAATGAACGACTGATCACTGCCTCTTTATTTATACTTGGCATTGTTGCTGGTCTGCCCCTCTCCACTGGGCCCTGGGTGCACACAGTCCCACATGGCACTTGGTGACTTGACAAGGTGCGACTGGGACTGGGTACCACTGACTAAGCAAGGTAAGACTACCAACTTGACCACTTGACCACTTGACTACGGACTGACTACTATGACTCATGAAGGGCCAGTTCCGGAACCTCCGGAAGACTGTGGCTTGACCCTTCAACACTGTAGCAGTTATAACTTGACCTTCCAACACTGTAGCAGCTATGACTCCCACCACTGCTAAGACCTCTAACCTACAGACCTATGGTTCAAGACCCGACGACCACCCTACCTACAGCAAACAAACAGGCGGCTTTCAAAACACAGGTCGTGGGTTCAGGCACACACGGGTCATCGGTACTGTACACGGGTAAGGGCGAGGTCTGGGAATTGAGCTCTGGAATCTGCAACTGCTACCTCAAAGGTGAAAACCGTTTCACTCCCGCTGGCCTAAATTCGAGGTCCTCCGAGAATAATTCAATCTATAGTAGGATATTTTCCTTTCTTAGCTCTTTCATAGGCACAAACTATGTCGGGAGCTGTTTCTAGAAGTTTTGTTCGCATAAACCAGTGATCGTCCTCGGGCTCTTGGTAAGCAAATCTGACTTATACTGTTTTTGTGGACAACCTCTACCCCCCTGTCCTAAATACATCTTCATCTACTATGCTGTCAATGTCGTACCTTCCGTCAATATCCAAAGGGATCATGGATCTTCTCGATGGGAACTGCGGACTCGTAGTGCAACGCAGCAACTTTGACGCATGGAAGACTGGGTAGGTGTGGAGATGTGCTGGAATTTCTATCGTGTAGGACGGTCCATCGTATCCGCCTTTGACTTCTAGAACTGGTCACGGTCCTCCATACGCAGGCCACAGTTTCTGCGAGATGTTCTCCTCAGGGGTAAACTCTTTGGACTCGACCCAGACAACGTCGCCTATTTGAAACTGTGACGGGTGGCGATGCTTGTTAGCTTGCCCTGTCATTCTGTGATGGACCTTCCTGAGGTTCTCTACCACTTTGGCAATTTCCTTTTCGTGCTGTACCGCAAACTACCTAGAACCGGGCGGTAGCTTTTGAAACTGTACCCAGTTCAGTCCTTCGAACGGTCTGCGGGGTCTAAAGGACTTGTGTAATTCGTTGGGATTGCGACAAGTGGCTAGATATACGCTGTTATTATAAGCATTGGCTACCTTTGGGTGCATCTCGTTCCAGTTGACTTGATCGGGTCTAATGTGCATCCTAAGAACTTGCTGCAGGATCTTGTTCATTTGCTCAGTCTGACCGTTTGTCTCCGGATGGCAGACAGACAACATCAATGACTTAGAACCATGTACTTTCATAAGTTCCTGCCAGTTTTGACTAGTAAACCTGGTGTCTCTGTCACTGACTATCGACAGCGGTAAACCATGCTCACTGGATCAAAGAATTTTTCTATAACTAGATCAGTACGTGCATCGGCGGGCAAAGGGACAAAAACTGCATACTTGCTAACTCTATCAACTATAACCATGACTTGGCTCTTGCCATGCCTACTCTTGACCCCAGTATCCATAAAAACAATGGAGACAGAATCTCTGGGTCCTGATGGGATAGGCAGGGGTCTAAGAAGAGCCAATGGGTTCTCGTCGTAGTTATGTTGCGTTGACATACTTTGCAACTACGCACATACTCTATGCAATCAGCTTTCATGCCAGGCCACGTGTTGCCGCGTATCAGGTCAGCGAGTGTCCTTTGCCAACCGAAATGCCCTTCTGTATCGTGACATTCCCAAGGATCAGACTACGGATCTCTTCGCTGTTGGGAATGCATACCCGATCTACGACGTTTGTCTCTCAAACAACAACCCATTAGTGGTGCGGTAGTGAGGCTCATTGGCCTCCTTGACTCTCTTAAGGAGGTCACAATAGATAGGGTCTTGCGCATACGCGTCTATGACTTTTTGCTGTAAGTCTGACCCTATATCCAGATAGTGAACTATAGCTCCAAAGTAGTCGGCTCTCCTACTAAGGGCATCGACAACCACGTTGTACTTTCCTTTGACTGGCTTGAGCTCGAAGTCGAACTGGTCTATCTCGACGGTCCACCTAGTAAGCTTAGGTGTCACCTAAATGTCTCGTGGTCTAAATAGACTTTGAAGTGCCTCCCAAGAAAGTAGTGTCTCGAATGGTCTAATGCTTGCCTGAGAGCGTAGAGTTCTCTCTCATAGGTGGATGCCGCTACCAACCTACCGGAGATAAACTCTAGGGGTCTGTACCCATTGCCATCGTCTTGCTGTAAGACAACACCAATGCCATATTGGCTTGCATTAATAGTAACAACAAAGGGTAAGGATGGGTTAGCTACCTTGAGGACTGGGTACTCTATCAAGGCCCGCTTTAACTTTTTCAAGGCCGATGCACAAACTTGGTCCCGCTTCCAGATTTCCTCTTTCTTTAGCAGTCTGCGAAGGGGAGCAGCAATGGCAGAGAAGTTCCTCACAAACTTCCTCTAATAATTAGTCAATCCTAAGAATGACCTCAATTCTGTGAGGGTACGCGGGGTTGGCCAGTCTTTGATCGCTGCGATCTGGCTGTCCTCAGGCTTTATGCCGTCGCCATTTAATATGTGACCCAAGTACAAAATCTCAGTCTTGGCCCACTCGCACTTCTTTGCGTTGATCTTGAAGTTTGCCTCTTGCAACTTTTCCAAGATTTGCCTCAAACGAGCCTCATGCTCCTGGAGGGTCTTACTAAAAATAAAAATGTCATCTAACTAGACAACTACAAATCTAGCTAACCACGACCTAAACAGATCATTCATACAACGTTGAAATGCGGTCGGGCGTTGGTTAGTCCAAAGGGCATCGCTATAAACTCGTATTGCCAAACCTAGTTCGGAACATCATTTTGTACTGATTATCAAGGTGAACCTCTATCTTGTGGTATCTTGACTGCAGATCTATTTGGAGAAATACTTGCACCTTTGCACTCGATCCAACAAATCATCTATACGGGGCAGTGGTTCTGCATTCTTTACTGTAACGGCGTCGACCCCTATAGTCAATGCACATTCTCAGCTCTCCCGCTTTCTTGGGGACAAAGAGAATAGGTGCTCCAAATGGAGATGAACTGGGCCTAATCCACCCCTTCTCGAGGAGCTCGTCTAGCTGCTTGTGCAACTCTTTGGGAGATATCCTATACATCGCTCCTTTGGGAGTCTTACTTCCAGGCTCTATCTCAATACGATGTTGGATAGGATACATGACTACTCATGATGGAGCCTTTGATAGGTCTGTGTACTCTTCCAACAACTTGGCAATAAGTGGGTTGGTGGACTCTTCTTTCTTAGGCTCAGTGATTGGCCTCACATAGGCCACAAAGACCTGCTCTTCTAACTGCTACCTCTTTACTAATTGTGCGAACGTGGGAGCACTGAGGCAGCAACGTGCTAAAGGGTTATGTACCCTTGACACGTTGAACAGACGGGCCGTCTTGACACCACCTGAGGGACTAGGAAGCCTGCACTCATGCTCTCTTAGATGCAGCGTGGCTCCTATTGCCTCTCCCCAGTCCATGCCTAGGACCATGTCAAATGGGAGATTGTCCTCTACGAGGAGAGTTAGGATGGAGAACTTTCTCAACCTTGTCATCTCTCTGTAGGTGAAATTTTGGACTTTCAAATTGAGCCTCAGCTTCTTCAGCGCTCTACGGCTAATATAGCTAAGGGTGGTCCCACTATGTATAAGGGCCCCTACTCTGCTTCTAAAGACTTCTACATCTACCAACACTAA